CAATTCCTCTCTTTATGTCTTTCTTTCTGGCCCTAACAAAGCCACAACATGTACGTACCGCCCCTTTCTAGTAGATGATCTGAAGACGTGAATAACTAAAGCCTTGACAACCATCGTCAACGCTATATTTGGTCGCGTTTGGCAAGAATTGGATTATCGCTTGTATGTGTCGTGTAACCTGCGGCGCTTACAATGAACACCTGTAAAAACCTGTATAGAAACGTGGAAATATTAGCTTTCAGGAAATATAAATTGTGTTATTAAGTCATACAGTGTCGTAATGTGACACATACTTTTGAAACACTGTGTATAATAGCTTCATCCACATGTAAAAAGACTAATAATAAAAAAGAAAACATTCAGTAACATCAACTATAAACACGGTCACAATGTGCTGACCGTGTTTGGAAAATGATAACAATAAAAAAAAAACATTCTTATCACTCCAGATACGTCAAGAAAAACATACACATTCAGTTAAAATTTTCTCAGTATTATAATAATAAAAAATAAAATTTACTAAATAGATAAATCGCATTCATTTTGTGCGCCCTCGTTCCCAATATATATATATATATATATATTTCCAAGAGGATAAAATTCAGGTAGGGCTCTATATACAAGACAGACCAAAAATATAATATAAAAGGCTAAATCACTAATATTCCATGGTTATAATTTATTACATTGGAATCGTAATCACGATCCAATTCATCAAATATATATATATATATATATATATATATATATATATATATAAACCCGTGGGTAAATACAGGGTGAGCGATCGTATACAAAAACAAATACTCTATAGTGTAAGAAAAACAGTGCTCAATATAACAGAGATATTTAATACATATTAAGAAATATACATAATATCTTACATTAATTGCACAACTCTGAGTTTCATGCCGAAGCAATTTTCAAGTGCTGGAATTATTATTTTTATGTTTATTTTGGGTTGGCAACTTGGACTTGTGCAATGAATGTAGGATATTATGTATTTTTCTTAATATATATGTTGTAGAGGGAAATAGCTATTCAAATGGGGTAAATTTGAATTTTTATTCTATGTTTTATATATATATATATATATATATATATATATATATATATATATATATATATATATATATACAGAGATAGAGAGCGAGAGAGTGAGAGAAAGAGAGAGAGGGGAAGACGGAGAGAGAAATAGAGTAATAGGTGAGAAAGCGCAGATTTTTGTGTAGTATTGTTTTCTTCTGCCGAATATGAATGTGATCACATCATGAATTCCATAAGTCATTAGGGTTATAGGCTCGTAAGTTTGAGACATGTACCGACGTCATAGCAGATGTTTCGTAACAAGGGCAAAGATTATCTGAGCCCATCCCTCTTCCGGCTGTTTGTACTCTGACGCTTCCTTCGTTTAGACTCGTTGCCACCTCAAAGGAAGAGAGGTCAATCAGCTCTGTTATTTAACCTATAGCCGAGGGAGAGGGAGAATAGATAGTTTCGTACCTTTTATCAAGTATATTTTTGCGAAAGTGAACGTAAAGAACCCCGATTTCTCTTTCTGACCCGCCTGTACCTTGTCATTTAATGTCGTTAACAGTAAATATCGCGTTACATTTGCACAAATATTCGCGACTTCTTCAAATGTCGAACCACGACTGACTGAAGTGTTTGACTTGGTGTTTCTGACTGAAGACGATAATGTTCTCATGAATGTAAATTCTTTGATTAAATGTAAACCTCCCTCCCTTTATTTCTGCTAACGGTTTATGTTTGCCTGGTTTTGGTTTGTCTAACGGCATATCAATTCCTCATGGGTCATTTAATGATGAAATTTTATTTTCTTGTGAGCTCTGGTAATTTTTTTCCAATAATCCATTACTGGGAATTTTTTTATTTTACTATGAAAATATATTGTTGGTAATTATTTTTATGTAGTTTTATATTTTCATGTTTTGACCCCACTTTAGTGGTTCATTATTTTCCCAGAAATTGGACCCCTAACAGATGCTACCTCCCTGGGTCAGGGTGGACCTGGGAACAACAGTAATTAAGAGATGGTTACACGCCCCTCAGATCCTTCTGATCAGAGGCCTTGCTGCTGGATGTAGTTTATTGTCATACCCAGGAAAAGTCAACGGTTTAGGTAATCTCTCTTGGCTGCCTCGAAACAGTTTAATCTCTAATCGTAATCACCAACACTTTAATGTATCACCTTTGATTTGTAATATGGAGTAACAAGTTCACATATAAAGGTACAACAAGGTTTTCGAGTCAAACACTTCAATACTTAACCTTAGTTTTTAGTAAGCCAGACTTACTATTATTAATGAGTTTGATTCTCATCGAGTTCTCTAATTTTGTGACCTTTTACTAATTCAAATTTAGTAAATCTCTGTTCGTATTAATACTTTTTTAGATGCACGGTTATTTTAGACACAATTTATTTTTTACGATGGCATTTTTATTTTTACCCTCGAATTTTAACTTAAACCCTCGTTTTCGTTCGATCATTGACAACTCCTGTTATCTAACTGCTTCCTTATTTTTTTTTTCTTATCAGATTCTGGGATTAAGTGTACCGATCAATGATTTACAACGTCTGTACTACGTTACTGTGGGTTTGTCGAGCACTGGTTTGGCTAGTGAGCTGTAAATGGCTTGACGCCAACAGCTTGGCTCGAAACCAGAACTGATATTCAAAGAAGCAGTTTACCAGTCGAAGTATATATATATCAGTGTCTGTGTGTGTGTGTAAGAGAGAGAGAGAGAGAGAGAGAGAGAGAGAGAGAGAGAGAGAGAGACAGACAGACAGACAGATAGCTAGCTAGCTAGATAGATAGACAGACAGACAGATAGATAGAGAAAAACAGATAGAGAGATAGAGAGAAACAGAGAGATAGAGAGAAATAGATATATAGAGAGAAACAGAGAGAGAGAAACAGATAGAGAAATAGATAGATAGCTAGAAAAACACACACACACACACACACACACACACACACACACACATATATATATATATATATATATATATATATATATAAACAATTGCTCTAGCCGTTACCATAGTAATTTTGATTTCAATAAAAAAAAAATTCGCTTGAAGATGGAACAGAGCTTGGTACTTTAATTCAATTTAATTCAAATAATTATATTGAAGTTTTCGGCTCTTGTTTTGAAACATGAGAACTCTTATGTAGCGTTGGAATCATATTTTTAAATAAATAATTATATATATATATATATATATATATATATATATATATATATAGAGAGAGAGAGAGAGAGAGAGAGTTTTTATTAAAATTTCTGGTAAGGAAGGATTTTTGATACTAATTGCCTCGCTGAAATCAAATATACTGTAGCAAATATTTTCCAGACAACTGAATCCCTACATATAATTGCTGGGGTTAGTACAATTTTTCAGTTGATCCATTCTACAGCCTCCTTCAAGTCCATTCCGTGGGTAATTAGGAAACCTCTGCTAGTTTTTTTCCCCGAAAGAAAGAGTTTTATTTTTTTATATGGTTTATCACCATATACTGGATCGGTCGAACAAACTACTAACAGTAATTATACTTTGGGGTGCAATTATACGGTCACGGCTCTCCACAACTTTCTGATTTTATTATTCCTGGTAATTTTTGCTCTTTATGATCTCTCTTTGTGATAGTTATTCTGAGATTCAAGTTGTCTAGACGGCTAATCTTTGGTTTTCTATTCTATCAATATGACTTGTGGAGGTTAAATCCTGCAAAGTCCTTTTTCCTCAATAAGGGCTCCATGAATTTAATCTTTCTTAGATTTTCACATATTCTGTCCACGGCATTCTCAGCATTAGACCACAGAAAATTTACTGGGTAAGGTATAATTTTCATTTCGCATTTGATAAAAAGTTTCATTTCGCATTTGATAATTTTCATTTCGCATTTGATAATTATTATTTTGCATTTGATAATAATTTTCATTTCGCATTTGATAATTTTCATTTCGCATTTGACAAAAAGTTTCATTTCGCATTTGATAATTTTCATTTCGCATTTGATAATTATCATTTCGCATTTGATAATAATTTTCATTTCGCATTTGATAATAATTTTCATTTCGCATTTGATAAAAAGTTTCATTTCGCATTTGATAATAATATTCATTTCGCATTTCGTGTTTCGTGAATTTGTTGATCTAACTCAATAAATATTAATTATAGTAATGCTATACCGGTTGCGATAGGTAAATTGTCGCCATTTTATATTTTTAATTTCGCGCGTTATTTGTTTTTGATTTTGTCAACTGCACACTATAGTAGGGTCAGTTGGGGCACTGTCTGTGAGAAAAAAGAGCACCGTGAAGCAATTCACTCTGCCAGCAATTTGGAAACAGCATGCTGTACCGCTTGCCATTTGCACTTGAAGCTCCAGTACTAACATTCCACAGTGTTTGGGTGTCAATCTGAGGATTCGGAAGGAGTTGGACGAGTCTAATGGTGATTACGAAAGTACGGCAGCACGGAAAACTCACTTTGATCGTTTTAGTAAGAAAAGAACTTTCGATTTGTTAGTGAAGGTCCCAGGTTCAATGTGGTGGCCTACATTAAGTGCCTTGAGGAGGTAGTGCTGCCCTGGGTCAAGAGGGTGGCTGCTGGAAGACTCTACGTCTGACAACAGGACTCTTCACCATGCCACACAAGCAGGAGAAACCAGTTATGGCTGTCAGACAATTTCTGCAACCTCATCAGCCGTTATATTTGGTCACCTAACTCCCCAGGCTGCACCCCCTTGATTATTATGTTTGGGGCGTAGTTGAGCGAGAAACTAACAAGACTCCTTGTATCACCAAAGATGAAGTGAAGGCAAGTATTATGGCAGCATTCATCAACTTAAACAAGGAGACCTTCCAGAAGACATGAGTTCAATCCTCCCTGAGTGTCCTTGTAAACCTAAGTTCATTAGGTAACCAGTGGGCATCGCTGTAGATTTTTCAAATCATACTATTGAAATTAGTTTGATTCTCATTGGATACCTCACAAAGTTTACTTTACTCTATCTATCTATCTATCTATCTATCTATCTATCTATCTATCTATGAGAAGATAATGAGCAAATAAGAAGCGTTTATCAATCTAACATGTTTCACTTTGATTAAAGCTTTATCAGAGAATGAGATATGGAGGAAAATTAGAAAGATTTTGGTGTTTTTACTTTCGTGTTGTTTGATTTTCATTGGTTAATCAGGTTTCATGTGCATTCAAATTTTTAAACCAACGTTAATATAATTCATGGCGTTCTGAATTCAAGGAGAATCGACTCGTCCATCCAAAGTTTCAAGAAATTAACGGATTCCAAGCCTTCCAGAAAAATGGTTAATATTGCTGTAAGTACATAATACTTCTACTTTGTCTGTATGGGATCCAGATGATAATATGCGTGCGTGTGCGTGTGTGTGTGTGTTTGCGCGCGCATGTGTGTGTATGTGCAGTAGACATTATGTTGGTCTTTCGCACGTTGAACGTTTTTACGTAAATACCGTTTGTTTTAGATAAGCATACGTTAGATTCTTTAAGAATGGATTCAATAAAGTTTGGTGACGTAATATAACGTTTTTTTTGACGTGTGTTCATAGTTGATAATATAGTTATTAGTGGCTTCTCGAAGTACTTTCTTCCTAAAAAAATATGTTCTTTTTTAATTAGGGTGACAGTAGTAAAATCAAATTTATGACCAGTTTTATTCTTGCGTATTACAAAAGAATTTGAATGGCTGTTTAAGCGTAAATCTCTTTTACGTTCGTAGATACGGGATTTACATCACGTGATGCCTCTCTGAACTAAATACCTTTACGTTGTAAACAATTTATTTTGATCTATTATCCCAGTCTATCTATCTATCTATCTATCTATCTATCTATCTATCTATCTATCTATCTGAGTGTTTATCCCGTGAAGCAATAATAACCAAGTTAGTCCCATAAGCCATTAATATCATTGTGAGTTCGAAAATTACTGGATACCCAGCACGTGTAGCCTCGTGCCACATTAAACTAAGCTTAGTAAATATCAATAAAAACGTGACCTTTTACATTTTCGGTGGCTAAAGAAAAGCCAGAAACTCAATCATTAGCCTAATCTGATTATATATTTGTTGATGTAGACAGAATTCTATAAGTTCGTGTAAATCTCATAATTTTAAATAGAACGAAATAAGTACTTCATTAATATTCTAAATATTCTTATTCTTGTAATTATATCTCGTGATCAGACAAATATCGCATGACCCAGAAGTAGGGATTTTCTTCCTTTAAAAATAGTCGACTTATTCAGAAAAGTTGTATAATAAAGTATTCTCTATGTTCGACGTGCAGAAAGTTTGATTTTTGCTGCTTTTTCAGGAAATCGATAACAAGTAACACTTTTAGAAAATCTATGTCATAGTTGGAAATTTGCCACAAGAAAGAATTTTTATATATAGGCGATGATTAGGGAACCCTTCTTTTCGATCCAGAAAATATTAATGATTGCTGATTTTGTTAATAAAAAAAAAATTTGCTGGATTAAAAAGTGTATTTATGGGTGTACGAGTGCCTGTGTGAGTAATTATATATGTGTGTGCGTACGTGTGTGAATATAAATGTAATTGTATATGCGTGCGTATGCATCTGCGTGTTTATTAAACTACGAAGCGGCAATACTTAACGTAGATAAAAAAAAAAAAACTAAAGATGTTAAAAATTAGCTTATTTAAGCAGCCTTTCCTCACAAAACTGTTAGATTTCAGGAATTGGAAATCATAGAGCCATTTTACGACAAACTGTTTACTCTAACGTTTTGTGTAATATATATATATATATATATATATATAGTTGAGTAATGAAAATCTTGGTAATCCGTATGGAAAATCCCAAGGAGGATGAAATCCACAGAACCCAGTTTTAAATCAGAGCGAATAATTTAATTTCAAGAAAACCAGACAACTTTAATTTTCCATAAGGTTATAATTTATTTCCCCAGGAATCTTCTTGTTTCCTGGATCATTAGACCTCACTGCCAACTATGAAAAATTGAACTTACACTTTTAGAGGGTAGGTTTCAGCCGATGTAAAGTGATATAGAGAGTGATGAGAGATAGTGTAACAGACATGGTCGAAATTAGAGAGAGAAGGGAGAGATAGTAATGCTTTTAAATTTAAATCTGGCACCGTGACACGCAAGCAGGAGAACTCAGTCATGTCTATCAGACAATTTCTGCGACCACATCAGCTGTTATATCTGGCCACCTATCTCCCCAGACTGCAACCCCTTTGATTATTATGTGTGAGGCGCAGTTGAGTGAGAGACCAACAAAACCCCTTGTAACACCAAAGATGAAGTGAAGGCAGCATTCACTATTTAAAACTTGTTTTTGTTTATTTTTATGTTTGTATATTATGCTCTTATCTATAAGCTGTTAAGTAATCTCCAATTACATCATTAGCAAAATGAAAAATATAGGTTCTGAAATATTTTGATTTTTTACCCTTATTGTGCATATGGTAAAATCGAGTTTTAGGTTTGGGGTTGTCCTTTTTCAAAAACTAAAACAAATTAATGCGTGTTTCATTACTTTTGAACAAAAGTTCACCGAATTATGACACAGGAACTTAGGGTTGCATAAGCCATAACCCTTGTACACAAATATAAGTGTGTGTGTGTGTGTGTGTGCAGGTGCTACTAGTACTATGTAACCCAGTACTATCTGCTTCGGTTATCAGCGACAAAACCGCTTCCTCTGCCACATTCATACAAGGTGACTGCTACATTTTACTCAGATGAGAGTCGCCCACTCACACCTTCCATCATTTGTAATGGCTTCCGTTTCGTTTCGGTGTCCATGGCCTCTAAGATGAGAGATAAGATTGATACCAGCATTTCATAGGTATTAGATATACCGATAAACTCTGTATCCTTGATTGGATCTTCATGACCTACAACTCTCCTGTTTGCCACCATGTGATTTTGCAAGCCTTGTTGCCAACAACACAGATATTTGTCTATATCTAAGAGATGAGGTATTACAATTACTTGCATTATTTACATTATTCGGGCTGTTATTCTCATCTTCATTGCCTTATTCACAACGTTTCGTCCGTTGTACGCCTCGGCCTTCTCCAGTTGATTAGAATTTCGAACCGAACCCTTTATTTCGTGCACCGGGGGTGGATTGTTCAAGTTTGCCGTGCCGTGACTCTCTTCAACTTGGAGAGTTGAGTTAAAGGGGGAATAACTGAGAAAACAAAATAATGGGTTCGGTTCGAAATTCAAATTGTTGTGAATATGCCAATGAAGACGAGGATAACAGTTCGAATAATGTAAATAAGATAGGTATTGCCCACAGGAGACAGGGTTATATATATATATATATATATATATATATATTGCCGAGTGGTTACAACGTTCATTTCTGAACATGAGACCTAGGTTCGAATCTCACATAGGTTGATTTGTCAAGAAGGAGACATCCTGATGTTATCGGTCAGGAGGGGGACGATTCCAGCGTTCGTCACCTTTGGAAAGTGCCTGAAAACCCATATATATATATATATATATATATATATATATATATATATATTGTTGTGGGCTTGTTATGGCCAGAAATAAAGACACAAGAGAGGTAGTGAGTTAAACAAAAATATTAACAGAAACAGTAATACAAACATATACAAACGAGAGTGTTACAGCAAGAATGTTCGATCCGGCTGTCAGAGCTGACTGCTGGAAACTTCCGTCCCGAAAAGGCAGTATCTGCTCCTATTTATAGCTGAGAGAGTACATGCGTGCATAGTTAAATTACCATAACATATATCACTATATATATATATATATATATATATATATATATATATAGTGATTGGTACGCCTTACGTTTTACTCAGATGAGAGCTGATCTTTCACTCCTTGCATCATTTCTGATTTCTTCCGTACCATTTCGGCATCCATATCCCCTAAAATCACTTTCCAGAACAGCATTCGATTTCATCGTTATCCTGCATATATGACAGATACACTCTGTCTCGTTGATTGACTTCGCTGTATTTGCATGCGTCTCCTCACTCCAGATCTGCAAGCCTTGTTGCAAAAAACACAGGTATTGTTGATAGGACGATGAGGGAGGTTGACATCAATTCCACAAGCGACCGAGAGGACTCACGAGATGTTGAATCATGATATTTCGATAGCTTCCAGGTATTTGTAGGCGTACACCTCTCCAGCACCTCCCATAAATACTGAATTGCACTCATGTGGAGCGAATGTTTTGTAACAACTTGCGATGTTGGACAAAACTTGGGCAAAAATCGTAGACTATTCTATGTTCAATTCTTTTATCTTCTATGCTAAATTTGTTATGATTGATTCATACACCGAGGTATTTGAAGTATTTATTATTTAGCAATTCCATATAATGAATATTTAGGATGGATTCAGGACATGTCCTTGTTTTCATTTCAATTCCAGATCATTGTTACTGTTATTGTTTTTGTTTTGAGTATTACATCTTGAAACACTTGATCGGGAAGAGTATTAATAAACAAATAATATAATACTTATAAGTATCTATACTAATCAAAAATCCAGATTAAAAAGACAGAATAATTAGTATTGACGAAATAAGATAAACTCTGCAGTATTATTTTATTTTTTCTTTTAATAGATGAAGCCTTATCAACAGTTAGTTATGGCACAAAAAGATATAGCTTATCGAAAAACGTATTTAAGCTTATAAGTTCATCACAATCATTATTAGCGTATCTTTGCTTTGTTTTAACACTCGTATTATTAGTGCTATTTTTTATTAGATGAAATATTGGGCTTTCCCGAGGCAAAGAGACGTGTTCGAATCTCATTGTGAGCAGTTTCTTTATTTCTAATCTTGTTTACTAATGTCGCAGGATTGGCAGCCTGAGTAAAATTGCGATAAAAGAGCCAAAGTGATTAAAGTAGAGAGCTTGTTGCATTGACATAAGAAGGGAAAGTATATGCAGGTGATGAGGATATGTAGGATAGATAACGGCTGATTGGAAGAGGTTAAGATTGTATATCTGCTTATATTTCTGAG